TCATTACTGTAAGTGCCAGTTGATCAAGAATCCAAGATTTGGACCTATCAGCCATCAGCATTTTTTGACAGCATGCTATGTAGGAATGACGAAGCAGCTTGGGGCTAATAATCACACCTTTTGTAAAGCAGGACTAAAACCGAGGCAGTGAAGCACTGTTGCTCTTGGGCACAACATGCTTAATGGGTCTCCTCCATCAGTCAGGGAGTCTACTGATCACCCTTTCCATCATGCCCCAGATTCTAATATTATACCAGAGGGAGAAACATGTTTCCCAATTTCTTCCCACCATGCATAAATGCTCCATGCACATGTGAAACTTGTTTATCAAGGTACACCTATGAGTAAGGATGTCGAGCAACAAGTAGGAGCCAAGAAAGATGGGGCAGAAGAAAGAATGCCCTTTTAAAAAGACCAAGGCAGAGCTAAGAATTCAGGATAGCTAGTCTATGCAAGAAAAAAATGACATTTTGGAATATAAACACTGAATAAACAAGAATGTAAACACTATATATTCTTTTCTAGGTAGCTTCATGAACTTAATCGAAACAAATACAAAAACAAGAATCAAGACTGGCAGAATCAAACTTCTCTGGATTGGTAATTTGCCACAATGGAATCGTTTTATTCATTTGCTCAAGTTAAATGTGCATAGGTTAAATTTGCATAAACCTCTGCCTATATCACACCTGAGATCATTCCTCTTTTTACCTGTCCTGATGCTGGCAATGAATTGCTGTGAAACTTTCAACAAGGAGAGGGAGACTCTGAGGTAGGATCTTCTCTAAGTTTGGAGACCTTTCTCTGACTTCAGTGAGAGTAGAGGACACCATGAAAGCAAAAAACAAAGCAAAGCAAAGCAAAGCAAAGCAAAGCAAAGCAAAGCAAAGCAAGAAAGACATCAATCACAAGATAGAAGTGAGGTATTATATCCTGGATTGCTGAGTTCAGAATAAAGATAGACATTTGTACCCTGGCCATTTACGTTTATCTAATCTGGGGATTATGGAAATGACAAAGGTAATAATATGATAATAATAATAAACCACCTGGCATCAAAAATAGATCAGAACTTCCTTGAGTCCAAGTCTCACACGTTTCAATAAGTTCGTGCATGATCATGTTCTATATTTCATCAAACTACTATCTGAATTGAGAAGTTCATTTAGCAGCCCATTAATGGCTTCTAGACATTAAGCAAAACAGGAAGTCCTTCCATGGGTACATAAGGCAATCATGTTCCAGAATGGGAAAGGTGACCAACTGATGGCCAAATAAGAAGAATCCTGGAAGACCTGGGTGTTGTTATTACTTAAAAGGCACAGAAAGATTGGACCAGGACCGGGACTGTGGGACCTTGTTTCCTTTTGTTTACTTTCTGCCTGGCCATGGCCCTGGCACAAATCATGCTGGAGCTACTATTTGCCATTACAGGGAGGCGGCCATTCACAGAGATATGAGAGGAACCCACTCTGGGGATGGGAACCTGTTGGGTTTTCTCAGCTTGGCTCCCTGGACTCCAGCCTACTTTCTCTCTTGTCTAAGTTTGCCCCACACCAAGTGCTTTTGTGGGCATCTGCAGGAAAGAAGTTCAAGTGGAGTTCTGCTTCCACACTCATGCCTTGTAGACTGGCCTCCTCTGCACAAAACATTGTGTAATTTGCCCGAGCTGCACAAGGAATTACATAATTTGTGTATCTTGTGGAATTACATGCTTCATGTACTTTGCACAAAACATTCCTGAGTATTTGTAGATTTGATCTCAGCTCAGCTCACTTTCTGGCCGGGGCTGAGCAAGGGAAAGACTCTGACAAGTCCACGCGAGCTTAATTCTGAGTTGATCTTCAAATCTTTAGTGAATGGTACCAGTGCTACAGCCCTTTTATATTAGGATGAAGGCTCTTGCCATGTTTACTTAACACTTCAGATAGTCTCACCATGTACAGAGGAAAGTGCTTAAATGGCCACATTGTTTCCAGCAAATGGACTATAGTATTTGTGGAAGTGCTTTGGCATAAATGCTTGTGGGACTAGTCAAATGATAACCAAGAAGTGACTTCTGCATAGGAATCTGCAGTATGTTGCAAGGTCCAATATGCTGCGGTATATTTTATTTATTTTATTTATGCACTTTGCAATAGCCAAAGTTAGTAGAGGAAGGCCTCAGAAGCTCAAGGGTAGATTGCTCTTGGAAGGGGTGTTCTGTCAGGTATTGGGGTCATCAGTGTAAGGATGGCAACACATTCCAAAAGTTCAGTTTCATGTAGGTGTTAAATAGTATGGAGGGCAAAACTGGCCCCTGCGGGACCTCATACTGGAGTGTCCTTGGGGCTGAACAGTCTTCTGAAACAAGCCATCCAAGTAGGGACAGAACTATTGCAATACAATTCTGCCCACTTCCAACTCAGGTTGATGGTATCAGAAGTGTCACCCTCCCCCCCACTTCTCACAGGTCATCATATAGGGTGCTTCCCTATATGAAACTGCTTCCATGCCAAAACGAAACCCGACCAGACCAGACCAGACCAGACCAAACCATCCTGAACCCATGACTGAAATGGACCCAGATGAAAATTTTCATACAAGATTGCCTGGAATTGGTTGACCACTACCTGATCAGATATCTTGTACATAAAAGGAACATCAGCCTAAAATTGTTAAGATATGCCAGGTCCAGAAAGGTTTTCTTCAGATCACTAACAATCCTCCTTCCTTTAAAGAGGCATCAATCACCTCCCTGACTCAGCCAGCCATTCCCTCTATGCTGTTTTTTATAAGCCAAGAAGGACAAGGATCAGGATGCACAGCTCTGTCCAAGCACCTTGTCAACATCCTCAAGCTATGCCAACTGAAGCTCATCTAAGAAAACCTGACCAGGCTGTGCTCTGGGTACCTCAGTGGATGCAAGAATGTTTTTTCCTGAAAGTGTTTAGAAAATATTTTGCAGTAAACTTCAGACAGCTTTAGGACGTCCTTGACTCTAGTAAGCAATAGGTTCCAGTCCACCCAAAAATGGTCTGCTGCATGGGAAAAAGGAAAACTGAACGGAAGGGCTGGGATGTTTTTCTTTGCTGCACTCATTGCCCCTAAATATACCCAACTGCAGGCATGTATCTGGCTTGATTACTTTCACTAGGAGTTTTTCACCTTCTGTACTCAAGCCATCTCCTGTTTGGTTTTTTTGTCTGTTTTTTTAATTGTTTCCTGTAACTGGGTGTACCATGGAACAGTATGATCTCGACTACAGGCAGGGTGTGCATGACTGTTTTTGTTTCAACTGACTGGGTTTTCCCCAGGACTACCAGTTTTATCAGCTGGAAAATCCCCAAGAGCCCTCTAGAAACCATCCTGACCCATCCACCTCCAGGAGAAGAGCATCTTAATAAGACCCCTGCCTTTGCAGTGGGAGAATTTGCTATTAGTAGGTATGAGAAGTGATGGAGCATGGTCCTATAAGTATGTCTAGTTTAAGGCACAGGCATAGAATGGCTATACATGGTCTGTCTGTAACTGTTTTTAAGCTCTCACCAACATTGAAATGGCAAGTGTATGTGCAGAAGGGGAGAGGGAAAATCAGTAAAGGTACTAAGAGCCCCAACGAAATTTCACCACTTAAATGAAATGTGAAGGCTGATTCCATGCATGATCTTGGGAAAGTAAATCTACTATATTCAGTTATATCTATTCTTGTGAGTGTGGATGGGCGATAAATCAATTTGTTTGGTTTTGATCAAAAGTAACCAAATTCCCCAAGGTATACATATTCAGGACAAGAAGTACTTCAAACTTAAAAGATGAGTCAGCTGTGATTGTCAGTTTTCTTCATCCAGGCTAGGGATGAGCAGATTTCATTAAATGCATTCTGTCAGGCAACTTTTGTTCTGCTTTCACTCACTAACAGAAGTGGATTCTTTTCTGTGAGAATTTCATGCATTTGCAAATGCATGAACAAGCGCAGAGCCATGCTGGCTAGAAAGGCAGCTGGCACAGCTCTTTAGAGATCCAGCTAAGTCCAAATGCCTGGCCTGAGGATCCTTCCATGAGCCAGGCATTGTGGGAGGGATGCCCTTAGAGATCACCTGTTTTTAAGCCAATGTAATTATTCAGAAGACATCATAGGGTGGGAGATACAGGACCAAAGGGATGAGTGGGCTGGGCTGGGAGGGAAGAAGACAGGCAGATGTAGTGATCCCTTCCAAAGCAATGAAAATTCTGCTTGCTATTGTAACTTGTGGACCAGCTTAAAGAAATCGCCCTTTAGCTTTATTTCTCCAAATGTCCCAATGATCTGTTTGCACAAAATGAGCCAACCATAAATAGCCAGATGGGGAATGCACTCACAGAGCGGCTTGCCTGCTCAGTTCACAAATCAGAACAGATTCATGAAGATTGTGTTTAGTTTCTAAAGCACACAGAGAATGAATGTTTACAGTTGGAATCAGAAAGTAGATGTCTTTCACGGCCAAGTGTTTTTGTTATAATGGCACAGAGTAACAGAGTAAAGGGGTAAAAAACAGAGAGTGAGAAAAAACACAAACAAACAGAGAGGTGCGGTTTTTAAGGGGGCATGTACAGAAGCAGTGGGCAAACAACCCAAAACATGGAGATTTTCTTGTACAAATGCCTGAGGTGGAAGTTCAGGGAACTATCTGTTCATGAAAGATCCAGGAAGGGAAAACCAAAGAGGCAGTGACAAAGGTTGAGGTTTCAGAGCAGTTACACCTCTCTATCTATAATCTGTCTTTTAGAAAACTGCTGACTGAGACTTGGCATTTGATCATCTCCAACTGCTGATTAACACAGAGCTGTTTTATATTTAACTCTCTGACCAGAGCAGTGGGAGTCGAGGGGGTGGGGTTACGAGGCTTATAAGGCAAGTCGCAGCAGCTACAAGGTTCTTCTGTGTTCATTTCCTCTCTCTCCATTTCTCAGCTGAATTCTTTTCTACCAGTCACTTTCCTTTGGTAACACCAATGTTATTTTTTCATTTACTGAGTGTCTAGTAGGGAGGTGGCTGGGAGAAAAAGCTGGCAAAGGAGAAGACTGAGAGAGTACTGAACATAAACGGAGTTTGCTGAGCCAGAACTTGACAGAAAGGAAGGAAGGAAGGAAGAGACAGAGACAGAGAGAGAAAGCTGCAGCAGTGTTACATTTAGCTGTGATACAGCTGTTTGGAGATGCAAGATATGGATTTTGAAGATGAGACACCAAAAAAATACTGCATGAAGAGCAAGCATGTGGCCATAATCTGTGGCACAATAGTTGCTGTAGGTTTAATTCTGGGACTTGGATTGGGGCTTGGACTAAGGCCCAATGATACACAGGTGTGCCCACCTTCAGAAGGCAATGGGCAGATAACCACAGCATCTCCCACAAACACAACATCTCCCACAAACCCAGAGGACCCAGATCCTTGCCCTGCCAGAAATGATGAAACTGGAAACTGGACCCAGTTCAGGCTGCCCACCTATGTTAACCCAAGTCATTATGACCTGGAGCTTCAGCCTGAGATGGAAGAGGATCGTTACAATGGGACAGTCACGATCTCCATCCAGTTGGGAATCAGAACAAGACACTTGTGGCTTCACCTCAGAGAGACGAAGATTACAGAAATGCCCCAGCTGAAGACATCCTCAGGCCAGTTGATTGCTGTAGAGCATTGCTTTGAGTACAAGCCGCAGGAATATGTGGTGATTAAAGCAAAAGAAGACCTAACTCCTAGCATCTATTTTTTGACAATGAAGTTCCAAGGCTATTTAAATGGTTCCCTGGTTGGATTTTACCGAACAACCTATAAGGAGAATCAAATAACCAAGTAATTTCTCTTGTTCCTTCCACCCCAAATATTTGCATTATAACTTCTCTCTCCCCCTCTCTCTCCCTCTCCCTCTCTCATAGCTTTGCTTTTCTCATCAGAGAACTGTATACTATTCTATTAATTTTGTGAGCATTAAGAAAGAAGGCAATTGGGCAGTCAGTATGTTGATTATTCATGATATCATTATAGATTTGCGGGAATGAGTTTGCTTCCCAGTGTACTGCATACTTACAGAAAATTTTAAAAATCATAAAAGATAAATCACAGATATAAAAAAACAGCGTATTTCACTTGTGTTGGGTAATCCACATTTTTAGCCTAAGAAATTACAATTGCAGATCTTTTCTTTGTAGTTATACATATTATAGATAGCCACTGGAACATGCATTGAATGTGTAAGACAAAGAGGACTATAAATGGCTTCTAAAATAATATATCAGAGTATTGTATGTAATGTTTTTCCTACTTAGAGTAGACCCTTTGAAGTAAATGAGATGTAAGTTAGATTAATATTGGAAAAACTCAGTGGATACAACCCAGAATGTGTTCTTGATCTGCTAAGTTCGGTTTGAATATTTGTAGAGCACAATCCTTTTCATGTTTGTAGATGCATATTGATGGATTTCTGAAAGTTATTGAGGATTTTCCAGGGGAAAGAGCTGGTGATCTAGTTTTACTATGGGACAGTGAGATGCAGAGGTGCATTGATTTGCTTGCACCAGAGTGCTCTGTCCAGAGTTGTAAAGCTTGCACTGTCCCTTGGTAAACTGGGGAACTACAGTCAATGAAACAGGCTGGATGCTGGCTAGAGCAGAAATGAAGATGAGTGATCATGCTCTAGACCACGTAATCATGCTTATTGTGTGGCAGATTGGACAGCAAAGAAGCACCCTAGACTCACTGCCTAGCAGAGCTCTTCCAAGAGTCCAGAGGCTGTTAAAACCTTCCCTGGCAAATGAGGGTCTGATCCCCTCTAAGATCTGCTGGGATCTTTTTGCCTCACATCTTGAAGACAAAATGGCTTGCCTCCACAGTGAACTTGATACTTTTATTAATGCAGTTCCAATTGAAGTGTCAGATGCCACCTTCTCCCCAGTTTTGTGGGATCAGTTTCAGCCGCTGTGGCCGGATGATATGGACAAGTTGACTGCAGCTGTGCTGACCATGTGCCTCTTAATCCTTGTCCTGCCTGGCTAATAGAAGTGAGCTGAGGGGTTGTGTCTGTGTGGGTAGAGGGAGCGGTAAGCAGGCCTCTGCCTGAAGGAGTGATCCCTGCTGTGCTTAAGGAGGCAGTAGTGCGACCACTTCTGAAATAACTCATTCTAGACCCCATGATACTGGACCACTGCTGCTCAGATGCAGTCACCTGTTCTTAGGGAAGGTTCTTGAGAGGTCTGTGGCAGAATGGTGATTACTGCGTCTTCAAACCCATGCTGCACTGAGTTTCAATCTGATAACAGGGCTTTGCTTGCCCTGCTTGATGATCAATATCAGGAGGGGACAGGAGGAGCATAACACTGTTCATTTGGCTAAGTTTCTCATTGGCTTTTGATACCACTGACCCTAGTATTCTCATCCCCATGGCTGAGCATTGGAGGCATTGTTCCAGTGCATCCAGTCGTACATGTAAGTTTACAGGTACAGTAACATTGGGTGGCTATTTCTTGTACTGAGCTATGGGGTTTGGCAGGGTATCATTTTGTCTCCAGTGTTGCCTAGCATTTACATGAAGCTGTTGGGGCTCATCATTAGGGGATTTGGAGTCAATTGCCATCAATATGTGGATGGCACACACCTCTATCTCCTTGTGTCCTCTGAATCAGATCCTGCTGTGCAAATTCAGTGTCTAGATTGAGTAATGACCTAGCTCAGGTCCAAGAAACAGAAGGTGAACCCTAGCAAGATGGAAACCCTGCGGAAGAATGGTTCCCAGGTCCAGGAGATAGGTTTATTTCCTGTTCTGGATACAGTTGAAAAATCATGTTGTGCTCTGGAGGTACTTCTGGATCCACCATTGACACTCAAGACCCAAGTGCTGTGGTAGCTTGGAGTGCCCTTTATCATTTTGAATGGTTTATCTCTTCTAGACAAACAGGCTAGCTACAGAGCGGTATGGTCTCTCCTAGACTGGGATAGATTGGCCACAGTGTTACAGACGCTAGTAACCTCAAGGCTGGATTATTGCCATGCAGTCTATGCAAGGCTGCCCTTAAGGTGAAGCTGGAAGCTGCAGCGAGTGCAGCATGGAGTGGCCTGACTGTTGCTGGGAGCAGCATGCAAGCTGCTTCAGCACACAACTGTTTTGCTGAGGGAACGGCGAGGGCTGCCGATTCACAACCGGGCCAGGTTTAAGCTTTTGGTACTACTGAATAAGCCCTAACAAGATTAACTGGAAGAGCACCTTCTCCCTTACCAGCATGCCAAGTCAGTGAGCTCATTGGTTGGTACAATTATAATGGTTCCACAGGAACATATGGTCCAACTGGAGTTTATTCAAACAAATCGTTTGTTTGTTCATTCATCTAATTTCTGTACCATCTGATAGCTGAAGCTCCCTGGACAGTTTACACAGTACAGAAATACAATAAAATGCCATTAAATACCACAAAATCTTATTAAAAGAAGCATTAAAAATTAAAAGAAACAGTTCAGGTGTACAGTGAATGACCCTGTCAAAGAAAGAAAAAAAAATGGGATTGGCAATCTCTTTGAACCAAGTTTTCTTTAAAAGCCTCAGCACAAAAGGTCCTCTTCACCTGATGCTGGTGAGATGAGATGGTTGATGTCAGGTGGGCCCCCATGTGGATGTCATTTCATAGATGGGGGGGGGGGGAACTACAGAGAAAACCCCTTTCCTCTTGTCACCCTGTCAGCCACCTAGATTTGGCATTTGGAGGAAGGCCCCAGATGTGAAGTTGAGTGTCCAGTAGACTGTGGTTGGGAGAAGTTCCCCAACAGGTATTATGCTCCTAAACCATGTAAGCCTTTATAGATTTAAACCAGCACCTTGAATTGGGCCCAGAAGCATAACAACAACCAGAACTGGTCTTATGTGATTGGGCCTACAGGTCTCAACCTGGCTGTTGCATCCTGTACAAGTTGCAGCTGCTGAACAATCTTCAAGGGCAATCCAGACAGAGTGCACTGCAGTAATCTAATCTAGATATTACCAGAGCTTAGATTACTGAAGCCATGCCATCTCTGTCCAGATAGGGGTGTAGCTGGGCCACCAGTTAAAGCTTGTAGAAGGCATTCCATGCCCCTGAGGCCAGCTGAGCACTGAGCCTCTAAATGACCCCATTTAGATCAAGGAGCACCCCAACCTACTAACCTGCTCCTTCAAGGGGAATTCAATCCCATCTAGAACAGGTTGAACATCCCCCATCTGATCAGAGGAACCACCCACTAACAGCGTCTTATATCATATGGACTGAACTTCATTTATTTATTCATTATAACTTTATTTGTTATATCTTTATTGTTCATCACCACTTTGAAATCTCCATACTGGAATATGGAGCAAAAAACCTTTAGACAGAAAAAAGACTTATAATTCCCAGCCTGCCACACCCGAACAATAATTTGGAAATATTGGAGTTTTAGGATTCTTTCTGTCTAATATTCATAAGATTGCACCCTTATTTGTATATGATTAGTGGATTAACTTCCTCTGTAGAGTAAATATCTACTTTGTCTTTCTAGTGATGATCTTAAGAAAGCTTTTTGAAAAATTAAAGGCACACATCATTCAGTTGCCTGCTGGACATCTTTATCTGTTCAGCAGCAATATGGCAGCAACAGATGAATCATTTACTGCTGCAAAATAGTGTGTGAAACTGTGTTGGAGGCAGGATGGATGAGAACAAGTCTGGTGTCTCCCCTTCTGACCGCAGTGGCTTTCTGTTGAGGAAGGAATGGCTCCAGCCACAATGATCCCCATCAAAAGTGTGCTTGAGATGACAGCCTCCGAGAAATACTCACCCATCTGTTTTGGAGCAGAATCTCTGCTGTGCCACAGGGCAAGCCCAGAAATGATGTGCAGAAACTGTAAGGAAGCATATTCTGGCCAAATCCTTGGAAAAAATTCCTAATAGCAAGAGTTGTTTGGCAATGGAAGAGACTGCCTTGGCAGGCAGTGGGCCGGAGCTGTTTAATCAGACATTTCTCTGGGATGCTGCTGTAGGAAGAAATTGAACTAGATGATGTCTAAGGGCCCTTCCCAACTCTGGAATCCTTTGATTCTATAGGGTTTTCTGCACAAGTTTGTGTCTGGCATTTGTTTCACTGAACTAAGATTCAAGAGTGGATCTTTGAGTGATCAAGAAAGCAAGCAAGCAAGCAAAAGGTCTTTCCTTTCTTGCTTTTCTACTGTATCTTGTCTAGGTGGCACTGTGGTACAGCAGAATAACACAAATATACAAAAGGGAAACATGTTTTCTTTCACTTTAAGAATAATATACATTTGCTGTGCTCAACAAAAGAAAAAAAACTTACCAAAACAGAAGCAAAACTGTTGACCTCTAAAGAAACACAAATAACTATGAGTAGCGAATGCTGATCACACAATAAATTCCTTGTGCAGAAAACCTCTATGACTTGTTTCCTGGAAGTAGAATCTGTCATTGGGTTTTTGTTTTGTTTTTTTAAGGGAACCCTTGTCTCTCAAGACTCTTCCACATACTTCCAGTGTCTCTGAGGTTCTACTACCTGTGAAACATACATAATTAGAGTGTTTCTGTGGGGTGCAGGAATTGTTTCCAATGACAGTTGAAGAAATGTCATTTCAGAAACAATTTCCCACTCCACAGGGATCTCTGTTAACTATGCATATTCCCAAAGAGGCAGCATCTCAGGAACAGTGGAAAATACAGGGAACACTTTAGAGATAAGAGCTTCTGAAGAAATATTCAGGCATCCTGCTGCAAATGTGAGTCCCCTTTTTTTGCAAATTTGCTCTCTATAAGTACGTACAAGTCAACTTGCCAGCAAGCACCCCT